CAGTCCAGTACCTGCCCCAGCATACTCCTCAGTCCAGTACCTGCCCCTAGGGCCACCCCCACTCCCTTTCAGAGCTTTCTTTTGTGTGTTGTCTTCCCCCTTTAAACTTTAAGCAACTTGAGGGCAGGGGATATCCTCATTTGTATCCCCAGTGCTTAGTACAGTGTCTGGCACATAGTAGGCACTTAAATGTTTACTGACCGACTCTAAAGGAAAGAGGTTTTATTAGATTACTGTAGGCGATATGAGGTGGTTAAGGCTAATTTCTAGCTAATGATGGAATTATATGAGATTGTAATAGAAATATCTGTTAAAATGAGTCCCATAAGAACAAGATCTCATTTAAATAGTTGTTAGATGCAAAAAAAAAAAAAGATTTTGTCAATTCAAAACCATGACCACATAAATCTCTTTATTAAACCATTAACTACACTACTAATAAAGTTAATGGCAACGCTTTATAAATATAATTAAGCTTTCCTTTAAACTTATGTGTAAAAATGTAGCTTAGCTGAAGTTTTTTGTTTTTGTTTTTTGAAAAGGAACATATTTCATAAACTAAAAAATGTATGGTTTTAAATGTACACAAAATATTAACTGTGTACAATGACATTAAAGTTCTATTTTTGTTAACCAATTCCACTTGAGATCTCCCACCACAGGATTTATCCTCTGAGGAACTTACTTACGGTGGTTCTTTTCTTACGTACAATGGCAAATTACTCACCAGATTGTGACTTTATTCACTGAACAGTTAGGTGGAATTAATTTCTGAGGTTGTATTTCAAACACAAACATAAACATACTGATAAGAACCTTAAAGACCAGAATTGATATTATATACCTCAGTATAAGTTTAAAATTATTAATAACTGCAAAATTCTAAGTGACTAAATTCCAGAATAATAGCAGACCACAGAGTATGTGTTTAACAACAACAACAAAAAAAACTTAAAATTTGAGACTAGCTGAGTTTTCCCAGAGAGGGGGAACAGAGGGGGTAGAGAGAGAGAAGAGGGGGAGAGAGAGAGAGAGAGAGAGAGAGAGAATTTTATAAAATACCACAGCATTAGTCACTGTCCAATCTTTCCTCATGACACTCCTTCCCTCCTCATAGAGCCTGGTTCATGGTCTTCCTTTCCTCCTCAACTCTTGCCCTCATAAGTCAGCATACATATTGATATATTCTTAAACAACCTAACCTCCCAATCCCCCAATTTACTCATTTCCCATGGCCTCTCTACCCTACTACCACTACTCACAGATGGTCATACCCCTGATCTTTTGACATACTCTAAAAGTGTTCCACATGTATACTCATAAACTCTGAAATCTTTATTATTCCATCTCATCATCTGCCTTGCAACTCCAAACTCTGTCCTTAGTCCTCACTATGGCCTCCAATATGGATTCCAACTAAGGCATGGACCCTTAGGTCTTTCTCAGACTATCACCCCTACCTCCCCCCCCACCCTGCACTGGCTACGCTGTATTTCCTTCCCTTCAATTCCACACTATCCTCCTCTCCAGTCCTTTGCCCTTTATCCTACTGAAGATCTCATCCTGCCAATCCCCGGCCCTGGATTACTCTCACCATTTACTGTCTTTGCTACTACTCACATGCTATGGAACAAAGTGGAGAAAATCACTAACCCATGCTAACTGGGTCCATTATTAGTTTATGTTACATAATATTGACTGGGACCTCACTACAGTAAGGCAGTCCTTTCACTCCTCCCTACTTGTTTCACTATCCCACTCACAACAGTGGCTTTTCCAAACTTTTTCATCCTTCATCAAACCTCCCATGTTCTTCCTTCCCCTATGTATGGCAGTGATTTGTCTTGCCAAGATCACTGCCTTAAAGGAGCAGCAAATCATCTGCTCCCAAATACCTACTCAACCAAAACCTTAAAATTCACTCCAGACTGAATTGTGACTAAGAAATCTAATGACAAAATATAGTAAGTTACTCTTTTCAACCTGGAACTTCACAAAAAGTCAGCCCAAAGCCCATAGATAATAGGAAAGAGTACCCCTTTGGCAAAGCTGCCACCAGTATTAGGTCGTTCCCAGTGTGGCCAGAAATGGGACACCTATAGCCAATAAAGCTTTGTGACAGGAGGTGGAATGAATAGAGGGCTACCCTGACAAAGCTTCCATGTCGTCAGAGAGTCCCAAGGTAGGGAACAGCAATGTTGAGTGCTGCCGTGCTCAACTGTGTTCCCTAACATTCTGTCCTGTGATGCCAGAGAGGGTCCTAAAGATTGATGCTCAAAGATACAGTGGGCCTAATCACGGGAAATAGAGGTCAGCTCAAGAGACTAGTGGAGTTGGAGCAAGACCAAGTAGGGATGACCAGGCCATTCAGAAATACAGAAGGGAGTAGAGATTGGCCCTGGTACAAAAACCTAATTTGGGAATTAAAGCTGGATAAGTGACACAAAGAAAACATCGACCAGTATCAAAAATTATTGCAAATCTACTGATTGCCAAAAAGAATCATGTATCCCCATAACAACAGCAAGCAGAAGCTCAAAGAAAAAATGGATTTTCTGCAAGAACTACAAGTAACCTCACAAGAAAAACTCCCAGGAATGTCACAGCCAAAATCCAACATTTCTACATCAAAGAAAAGACACTTCAAGCACCCAAAAAAACAGTTAAGAACCAAGAAACTATTGTCAGGATCACATAAGACCCGACAGCTTCTACTAAAAACTAGGAGACCTGGAATGCAATACTGGAAAAGGCAAATGAGACAGGCTTACAATTAAGAATAAATTACCCTACAAAGCTGAGTATAATTCTATTGGGGAAGAAATGGACCCTTAATGGAATAGAGGACTTTCGATTAGTCTTGATGAAAACAAC